CCCCCCCCGGTAGACCCCCTCCCCCCACAGGGTCCTGCTCCCTCAGGTGTGTCTCAGGTAGACCCACCCCCCTTGGTTGAGCCTTTGGAGGTCTCTTCTAACTCCTCTGGCCCAGCTGAGGGGGGTGACCCTGCCGCTGACGACACGGCGGCCACTCGCCGCTCTCCACGCTTGGAGACCCCCCCTGGTTTTCCGCCTCGGCCGTCTTCGCCGCCTCCGCAGCCTGCTGCTGTGGACTCTGGAGCTGAGACTGCTGGTGTTGAGCCTGGGGGTGCTGAGACAGAGGGTGAGGGTTCTGGGGGTGCTACGACTAGGGGTGCTGGTTCTTGGGGTGCTGCGACTGGGGGTGCTGACTCTGGGGGTCCTGCGAGTCCTAGTGGCGGTGGAGCTGTGGGTGACCCTACTGGAGGTCCTGGAGCTGGACAGCCACCGCAGCCTGACCTACTTGAGACGCTCTCGCCGCAGGCGATTCGTGCGTGGATCGTTCGGCGAGGCAGTCCTGGTGGTGGAGGGTACGGTCCTGCTGGTGCTGGAGCTGCTAGTCCTAGAGGTACTGCTGGTGCTGGAGGTACTGGAGGTACTACTGGAGGTGCTGGAGGTGCTGCTGGTGCTGGAGGTTCTAGAGGTGCTGCTGGTGCTGGAGGTGCCGGAGCTACTAGTCCTAGAGGTGCTACTAGTGCTGGAGGTGCTGGACCTACTAGTCCTGGAGGTACAGCTGGTGCTGGAGGTGCTGGAGCTGCTGGTCCTGGAGGTTCTCGTACTGGAGGTGCTGGAGCTGCCGGAGCTGGTGGTGCTGTTCGAGCTGGAGGTACTACTGGAGCTGCTAGCACTGGAGGTACTGGAGGTACTGCTGGTGCTAGAGCTGCCGGAGCAGGTGGTACTGCTGGTGCTGGAGGTGCTGGAGGTGCTACTGGAGCTGCTGGCACTGGAGGTGCTAGAGGTGCTACTGGAGCTGCTGGCACTGGAGGTGCTGGAGGTACTACTGGTGCTAGAGGTCCTCGCGCTGCTGGAGCTAGTGGTGCTGCTGGAGCTGCTGGTGCTTGAGGTGTTGGTGCTGCTGGTGCTAGAGGAGCTGGAGCTGCTGGTACTGCCCTGCGCAGACCGTTTTTCTACCCGCAGCCGCAGTCATCCCTGCCGCCGCCTGACTCGGTCCTTCGCCAGGTTCTTAGTCTCCCGTCTTCCACTGGCCTCCCTCTACCCCTCCTGTGTCCACCGACAGACCAGTCTCAGCCACAGCTAGTGCCTGGCTCCCCGCTGCCAGTGCCTGTTCCTCACACTGAGGAGACTGAGTCCCTGACTGAGCGTCGTGAGCCCGAGACTCGTGCTTCCACACCTGTTCGTGCTTGTCGTGTCGCCCGTCCACGGCCTCCTGTTGTCCCAGGCACTCACGGTATGGCACTTCGTCCTTCCTCTGTTCCACAGCGTGTTGTCATGAATGAGCCTCCCGTGTCCTCTCTTCCGCACGTTCCTGACCCTGAGTCTGACCTTGCTCGTGCTGCCAGTCCTACTGTCACTCTTCTCCTTGCTACTGTCGTCACTGACCCTCACCTTAAGTCTACTGCAGCGTTTGCCCTAATCACTGAGCTAGTCGACTTTGCAGCTAGGAGTCGTCTCGACTACGTCGCGAGTCTTGTCACTGAGTCTGACTCTGTCTGTCCTCCGTCCGTCGGTGGTGAGCTTGCCCTTGGCAGTGACGTACTTGAGGACAGACAGTTTGAGCTTGAGTTTCTTGCGGCCACTTTACCTCGTTTCGCATCCATGCTGCTTTGCCCTGAGGGAGACTCGGATGCACTTGACATCCCTACCCCGCGCTCTTATACTGAGGCGATCGCGGGTGAGTACTCCTCTCAGTGGCAGACAGCCATGAACGCAGAGATGGCTTCCTGGAAGTCCACAGGCACCTACGTCGACGAGGTTCCTCCTCCTGGGGCGAACATAGTCGATGGCATGTGGATTTTCAGAGTGAAGCGGCCGCCGGGTTCTCCGCCTGCCTTCAAGGCGCGTTATGTTGCTCGAGGCTTCTGTCAGCGACAGGGGGTTGACTTCTTCCAGACCTTCTCCCCCACCCCGAAGATGACTACTCTTCGGGTGCTGCAGCACGTTGCAGCACAGCGTGACTACGAGCTGCACTCCCTCGACTTCTCCACAGCTTTCCTGCAGGGCAGCCTTCACGAGGAGATCTGGTTGCACCGCCCACCCGGCTTCACTGGGTCGTTTCCTGCGGGTACCCAGTGGAGCCTCCGGCGGCCAGTCTACGGTCTCCGCCAGGCGCCCCAAGAGTGGCACGACACACTGAGGACTACACTTGCGGCTCTTGGGTTTGCTCCTTCCTCTGCTGACCCGTCGCTGTTTCTACGCACCGACACTACCCTGCCGCCGTTCTACGTTCTAGTGTACGTCAACGACTTGGTTTTTGCTACTGCTGACAATGACGCGCTCGCCCTAGTGAAGGCGGAGCTGCAGGAGAGACACACCTGCACTGACCTGGGTGAGCTGCGTAGCTATCTTGGCTTGCAGATCACCCGGGACAGAGCACGGCGCACCATCACCCTGACTCAGTCACACATGGTGCACCAGGTCCTTCAGCGCTTCGCCTTCCAGTTCTCCTCGCCACAGCCCACTCCTCTGTCTACCGGCCACTCGCTCTCAGCTCCACCTTCGGACGAGTCCGTAGAGCCGAGTGGTCCGTACCCAGAGCTTGTGGGTTGCCTCATGTACCTGATGACGTCCACACGACCTGACCTCGCGTACCCTCTCAGCCTCCTGGCTCGCTACGTGGCTCCTGGTAGACACCAAAAGGTACATTGTGATGCTGCGAAGAGGGTACTGCGTTACTTGTGCAGTACATCGGGCATGGGGCTAGTGCTTGGAGGACAGGGTTCACTGGTACTCACAGGACACTCCGACGCTTCTTGGGCCGACGACCAGGCGACTCAGTGTTCGTCACAGGGTTACACCTTCAGTCTTGGCTCTGGTTCTGTCTCGTGGAGGTCCACTCGTTCTTCTTCTGTGCTTAGTTCCAGCTGTGAGGCCGAGATCTACGCTGGGGCCATGGCTGCACAGGAGCTCAGCTGGCTGACCTACCTACTAACCGACTTGGGGAAGCGGCCTCGTTCTCCTCCAGTTCTGTACGTCGACAACAAGGCAATGCTTGCCTTGTGTCACGAGCAGAGACTGGAGCATAGAACGAAGCACATTGCTCTTCGCTATTTCCTTGCGCGTGAGATGCAGCAGCGTTGTCAGCTCCGCCTTTCGTACGTGGCCTCGCGGGCCAACACTGCTGATGTGTTCACCAAGGCCCTTGGGTCTGGTGATCATCAGCGTTTCTGCACTGCTCTTGGGCTTGTGCCCACTCTGCCTTACCTGCTGGTTTCTTGACTTGCTCTTGTTGTACACTGATATATATCTTTATACTTGCTTGTTTACTCTTGATAGGTTGTGATCAGTGTACTGCCTTGCTATTATAACTCTGCATGTGAACTGGCCTTGTGGCCGCTTGCTTGTGCTCAGATTGTGTGGTGTCCTTGAGATCCACCCTGAGCTTTGTTTTCCTTTGCTTTTGCTCTGTTGTCTTCCTTGACTGGTCTTGTGACCGTCTTGTTGTCCCCCACTTTGCCTATGGGGGTGTGTCAAAGTACAATCTTACTTGTAGGCTATAGTGGGGCACTCCTTATGGGGTACAGCACTTCTAGGGTTAGTACTTGTGCTTGAACTCTTGCTAATCCAATCATTCCTGCACAGTTCTCTCGACAAAGACCTCAGAAGCTGCGCGTAAGGTCAAGATGTGCTGGCATAGGAGCAAACTGACGTGTCTTTGCCCCTGTGTATTGGAAAAAAATCGGTAGCGCGCGATTCTGATTCCTGGCGCTATAAAATTTCGCCTCGATTGGAATGGTACAACTGAGATGTACATTTTGATGCTATAAAATTATATATCGGTATCTGTCATTATATAAGCGCATGCGCTTATAAAGATGACTCAATTAGAAGCGCACCCCCCTAAAAAACTCTGCTTTATTATAAGCGCAGCTGCGCTTCTATCCGGGGTAATACGGTATGGCTGGACTCAGGCCCCTAGATTCGTTTTGGGGCATGCAGATCGATCAGCAGCGTGCACCCCTCTTGGAACTCTGGCTGTCAGGGTTGCCTCAATTTTTTAGGTTGAAAATTTCGGACAACACAAAATTTCAACGCCGAACTTTCAGCTCTGCATCCAAAATTTAAGCTGATCTTTTGTGGTGTCGTCCGAGGTGCAGCATGCTGCGAGCTATGCGTTGGCAAGGAATCTTGCCAACGCTGCCTGCTGCACAGCCGCGATTGGTTGGAATTGAAGCTGATATCAGCATTCCTGTACCAACGCGACAGTGCGGTGCCGCGCTCGGGAAGCTTTGGTTTCCCGCCCGTGATTGACGGTGTTAGTGCTACACGCCGCCAGGCTGGCGGAATTCCCTGTATTACCGGTTTCAGAGTGCACCCCCGATACAAGGCTGAGGGCTCAGCCTACACTCATAAAATTAGGCTGAAATTTCAGCCAAGCCATAAAAAAAAAACTATGAAAAATCAGACAAGGTACCATACATACGGTAAAGAAAAACTTTGAGTTCAGACTAGGCACCAAAAAAAAGCTTGAACGAACTCTGAATCAGAGTAAAAAGTCTGATATCTAGGGCACTGGCTGGACTGTAGGCACTGTGATCTCACACATCCCCTTTTGCTGCACCATTGATCCCCAATCCCATCGCCCATCCCCAATCCATCCCCCTAGCAGCACAATTTCCCCCGGATCCAGCTATCCAGCCAGCCCCCAGCAAGAGCCTAAAGATGGCATCAGTGATGGCTGGGGAGAGCATGTGCTCACATCCCTTCCTGCTTCACCATTCCCCCTCCCATTGCCCCTCCCATCCCCCCACCAGAACAGTTTCCATCCTCTTCAGCTATCCAGCCAGCCCCCAGCAGAATGCATGAAAATTGCGTCAGTGGTGGCTGGAGGCAACCTCATTTCACATTCCCTCTTGCTTCACCATCCCCCCTCCCGTCCCTCCCATCGCCCCTCCCATACCCCCACCACCAGCACTGTTCCCCCATGCTTCAGCTATCCAACCAGCCACCAGCAAGAGCCTGAAAATTGAATCGGTGGTGGCTGGAGGCAGGCGGAAGAGTCGGTGCACTGCTGCTCGTGAAATGGTCCTCCTTGACAGCGCTGCTTGCTGTAGGATGACCTGTTGGGTATGGGTGGGCGTCGGGTGGGAGAGAGGACGGTGTGAGGCATGAAGGCAGGCAAATGTTGTCAGGGGTGGCAGGGGGCAGGCGGAAGAGTCGGTGCACTGCTGCTCGTGAAATGGCCTAACCTGAGAAGGCTGCTTGTTGTAAGATGACAGGGTGGGAGGGGGGGTTGTGGAAGGAAAAAGCCAGGGCAACAGGCAGGCATCCATAGTGGATGCTTGATGCATGCTCTTAGACCTACTTACAAGAGTTCACCTTCGTTCGTCGCCCTCCTATGCCTACTCGCTCCGCGCGCATCATACAAATACCAACACAGTGCACGGAGATAGTATGCTGCTAACTGCAGCCAAGCTTTGAGGCCCGCACTTAGCACACCTCATTTGGCGTACGTAGTATCATACACACGGGACACACCTACACTACAAACCTCACCTGCTTGGCCCGGAGGTAGTGTGCTGGCAGCAGGCACATGTGCGTGCAGATTTCCCTCTCCTGGGCGCACAGCATGGTTTGGCATTGTTCATTAGAGTGGATGGCGTTGTTTGTCATGATCTGTACGACATGCACAAGAGGAAGGATGGGAAGTTGATCCATGGGTAGGGGCGAGAGGAAGGCAGGGAGGTAGTGGGGAATGAAAAGGGTTGGCCAAACGTATGGAGTGGATTGAAGGCAACGGGAGTCAAGAGAAGAAAGACACACAAGCAGAGAAGAAGAGCACGAGGCAGAGCAGTTACAACACAAAGTCAGGTAGGCAGAATAGAAGGGAGAATTGGAGGCATGCAGATGGTTGAAGGAGATAACTATGCTTATTATCTAGCCTTGACTGATAGCAGCAAATATCAATACCTGTAAACCTCTCACCTTGGGTGACAGCAGCTCGCATCCCGGGTGGGAGGAGATGTGAAGTGCTGCTGAGGCGCCTCCTCCTGCTGCTGTTGTGCTGATGGCTGTGGGTGCAAGTGGCGAAGGAACAACGAGAGAAGAGTGGCAGTGGCAGAGGTTTGAAGAATGAGTGGGATTGGACATGCACGTGGAGGCAGACATGTGCATAGGCTGCTTATTGAAGGTGGAACTAGCAATTTGACTTGAACCGTTTCTGGTTCGAGTATGACCATTCGGTTTTCGCTCCACATTGCGAGTCGAACCGAACCGATTCGATGCGTTTTCAAATTGCGTCGAACCCTGTTTGGATTGACACGGAAACCTGCCCGGCTCAGGCCGACGGAAAAGGGAATTTGCGGGAGTTGGGGGTCCCAAGTCCTCACCCAACTCCTTAGCCACCCTTACCTTCCTAGAGTCTTTTGACAATGGAAGCTAGCTACCATTATATTAATATCCGTTCTGGACTGTAACAAATGGACGGTTGAATTGAACAGAATTGGTTCGGGTAACCACCACCACCAATGGCTCGGGCCAAAGAGCATGGGTTCGATGACGAAGGTCGAAACTCCAACTTCCATACCCGTTACGATCGAACACCACCAAACCAGTTCGGTTCAACCAGGTCAGGTTTGGTACTTGCTCTGTCATGTACACATGCATTCATGCACATGCAGGTATGCCACCTCTCAAGTGAATGGGTGTAACATGAGAGCGAGACATGAGTCAGGTCGATGGTCACAAGGAGTGAGGCTCAGGCTCAGCCGCTCAGCAGAATGCAAATCTAGCACACCAACACGGTGCAAGACATGCGATGCAGCAACAGCAGCGGCGGCGGCTGCAGTGGTGGAGGCGGCACCAATGGCAGCGGCAGCATTACTGCCTTGCAGAACAGACATACACGTGTTCGTGCCACCTGTATTCGTGCCACCTGGTTTTCACAGACCTGTGGCGGAGGGTGGAAGGCACGCAATGGCAGGAGCAGCAGCCGGGGGGTTGTCCTTGTAATGTGCTTGGATGAAGCGACGACCCTCTGCCAGTGACTTGCACCCCGCTGCTCTTTACTCCTAAACCACCAGTGGCACCAGCAGCAGCAGCAGCAGCAGCAGCAGCAGCAGCAGCAGCAGCAGCGGGGTTGTCCTTGTGTGTGCCTGGGGATGGGAGGGATGGGAGGGGATGGGAGGAGATGAAGAAAAGGAGAGGTGAGGAATAAGAGAGTTCATGCTGACATCTGATGGCTCAAATCAGCACTACTTACTCACTAGGTACTACTTCAGTCAAACTACAAGCCTCACCTGCAGCACGGCCATTTTGTCCCAGTCTCTCTTATTTGAGTCAGGTTCTGCATCTGCCAGACCCTCGTCCTCCCCTGCACAGAGGAACCGTAGAAACATCTCCCGCAGAGCACAGACCTGTCTTCCTTTTTCTCTCCTGCCTTCACCTGCAGCACGGGTCCCTCAGTCGCTGCGCCTGGGTAAGCATCTGCACCAGCCCCTCATGCTCCTCAGGACTGAGTAACCGCGTAAACACGCAGCACCGCAGAAACATCCGCAGGGGGGAGAGCAGAGAGGGGAGGGGTTGGAAGGGTTTGCAGCGGAATGATGCTATTTGAGTGGTTGCTCTTCTGGGGTCAAGCATATCGTGCTCCAGGATAAAGGCCTTGCGCCAGGACCGTACTTCCAGCCTAAAACGGTGAGCGAGAAGAGGGGAGGGAGAGGAGGGGAGGAGGGGGGATGATATATGATGTGACAGAAAGTGGCTCCTCGGGCCTTACACCTTGTGTTACACCCTACGTTACCTTACACCTTACGCTACGTTACACCTTACGGTACATTACACCTTATATTTGAGGATTCTCAGATGTGGATCTATCTATGCATAGTAAAATTAACCACGCACACCTGGAGAGTTATACGTATGCATCATCTTGATCTTGAACCAACTGTCTCAATGAGGATTTCAGCAGCAGCAGCGCCTGCATGAGATGTTTGGGGGGGGGCAGGAACAAAAAGGTGCTGTAGCAGGCACTTAAGCAGGGACCATGGTGTAGCAGGAGCAGTTGTAGCAGTCCTGGGTGGTCCATCAATCCAGATGTCATCCAGACGAACCCAGAGCAGTGCTGTCACCCACACACACACATGCATCAGGGGTTTGGGTAACCAGCCGGACGAACGTGTTGATAAATAAATCGAGAGGAGGAGCAAAGGAGGAGGAAGCGGGGAGGTGCAGGGACAGGCGGTGCGGAGGAGGGGCGGGAGGGAGACGAGTGGGAGAGAGAGCAGGAGCAGCAACAGCGGTTGGTGAAGGGAGTGGAGGGGAGGAGGGGGTGGGTGGGGAGGGAAGGAGGGGGTGGGTGGGGAGGGGAGGAGGGGGTGGGTGGGGAGGGAAGGAGGGGGTGAGGGAGAAGAGGGGAGGGAGAGTAGGGGAGGAGGGGAGATGATCTATGTGAGAAAAGGTGGCTCTTCTGGAGCCTTACACCTTGTTACACCCTACGTTGCGTTACACCTTGCGCTACGTTACCACCTTACGCTGCGTTACACCCCGCTCACCTAGGTTTCAGGTTTAGGGCACCCGTGCAGCACATGGAAGTGCCCTTGTGCAACCGGAAGATCAAGGATGTGCTCAATCTATTCGGATTTTTAAGGTGATTTGAGAGGTTTCGAGATGGAGTTGCGGGAGAAAGCGTTCGAAGAAGAAGTTCAGTAAAGCACAAAGCGAGGACAATCATCGTGTCCAGGGTACGGTATGCCACAGGACAGGGACAGGAGGAACCTAAATACCGTAGCTGGAAAAAGTGCAGCAAAATTACTAGCCTTCACAAATCTGTGTTCTCAATCTCCTGGCCCTAACCGGCAGTCAGCCTTGTCCAAAAATGACAAGGCTAAATCCTGACCTAAGACCCTCACTTCCGCCCATCCACTAGTCTCTTCACTCAGCCCAGGCCCCCAAAGGCGGGGCAAGTGAAGCACACAGCATTGATCTTCATAAGCACGATGATGATTTCAACACCACAGGACCTATCCACAATAAGGCTCAAACTCCGTGCAGACGGTAACCTTCACATTAGGAAGGCCCCTTGAAGCCTTCGTTGACATCTGCCAGTCTTGCATTCCAACCTTCTCAAGGCATGGAAGGGCCTTCAAGCACTCGATGGCGCGCTGATAATCTTGAAAATAATTCCTCAACCAAAGGGTCTTGAGGGATTTGAAGTGTTTCAGATGCACCATGCTCTGCTGAGTGATGTCCGGTGGCAGGCTGAGCCATGTCAGGTTAGATAGAGGCACAAGATGTGCTAACCCATCATCCCTGACATTACACACACCAATATCCAGTGCTTCAAGACTAGTCAGCTTCCCCACGTGCACCATGCCAGCTGATGAAAAGGGATTTGTGGCACCGTTAGGGAGATTCTGGCCACGAGAAAGGACAAGGACTTTAAGGGACCCAATGCATGTCAAATGAGAAAGCCCAACATCTGTAACCTGTGCATCAATCAATTCCAGTCGACGGAGAGCTGTAAGATTGCTGATTCCCAGAAGCATTGAATCATTGAAATTGCTTGACTTAAGTTTCAGCTCCTCCAGCCATGTCATGGAGTAGAGATGTCTCAAGGCTGGGGCCGTTACGTTGAAGCCAAAAGAAATTCTGAGGCTCTTTAGGAATGTCAAGAATGGGAGATGAAGAAGCCCGAGATCACTGATTGGTCCAACGTTAGCAGTGCTCAGCTCCAATACAGTTGTGTTAGCGTGAGCATGGATGATCTTCTCATCTGCATTGGTTGGTCGCACCGCATTGTATTGCTGCTTCGAAGTCACAAAAATAGCCTGGAAAATTGATACCTTGGGAATTAGCCTGTCGAACGGACAAAAAAGTGCAAGTTGAAGCACAAACCCCTAAAAGCTAAATTCTCACCTGCCAGACCTTCTTCGTTTCCTCCTTTTGCTGCTCCAACGTCTTTACTGCCTGCGCCGATTGTGCTACCAACGTAGACACAAGAGATTCCATCTCCTTGTTTGACACCCTAGCTTCATCCTGAGCAACTATACCAGTTGTTGACTGACACAAAGCCCGAGAAGCCTGAAATCGACACATCGTGAAAGGAACGCTAGAACTGGGGTAAGTAGACATCGTATAACTCACGTTTAGGTAACAGTCTTACGCTCACCTCCCAAAGCTTGGACGTTTCTTCCTTCTGACGAGCCAGCGACTCCTCTGCTTTCGAGAGTCGCGCTGTCAATGCAGCTACCTCATTTTCCTTCTCCTTGTTTGAAACCCGAGTCTCATTCTGAACAGCGGTTGTCGTAACAATGACCTGAAAACGACACACGACGAGATTATGCTAGAGCTGGGTGGACTAGTATCGCTCCATGCAGTTGCATGCTTTTAAGAAACTTATCCGCTCACCTCCCGGATCTTGCACATCTCTTCGTTTTGATGCAAGAACTTTGCGTCTGCCTGCGAGAGTCGCACTGTCAGTGCGTCCACCTCCTTTTCCTTCTCCTCTCTTGCAGCCCTTTCAGCTGCTAGCTCTTTCTTGAGTTCGCTTATGTTGTTGCTGTTCTCCTCCCTCGTTTCTTTTAGAAGTTTCTCCAGACTTTCCAATCTATCAGTCAGCATTGGGCTCTCCGTGATTTCCGAAGAGTTTCTCTGTCGCTGATCCTCTTCCAACTCCCTCCTTGCATCCTCGAATCGAACGGCTAACCTTGTCCCTACGCTCAAAAGCTCCTCCAAAAGCCTTGCTGTCGCCGTCATCATTGTGAGCTCGGCCCCGTTTGTTGACAAGAGGAAGAGCCGATGCGTTTCGTGAGAAGAACGGACAGCAAAACAACTACCACGGATTCTGGAAATGAACTTCTAACGCTAAGTCCTCTGGGAGGTTGGTAGGGGATCTCCAAGGTTCTGTGTATCCTCTCAACGTCGGTCGACCGCCCGTGACATGGACATCGCCATCGCCGCCAGCTGGGGCCCGTCGGGACGCGACGAGCTCCCCGTCCCGCCTGAGTGCTGCACCCTCCGCGCATGTCCTGCTTCGGCGTCACGACGACGACCCGTGCAAACTTCGTGCAAAATTATGCGTGCGAGATGCCCGTCTCGCCGGATCCGTGGTCGTCACTCCTCGTTAGGCGTGAGGAGGCCGTGGGCTAGGCGTGAACGATGGGGGGGAGGAGAGTGATCAGGGTCACTATTAAGGACGCGTCACATTTCACAAACGTGAGGAAGATCAGAAGGACACCAAGCCTGTGAGCTTCGGTCACCACACCAGTGTTCAAATCTGCGTGTTAAAAATATTACGGGGTTAAAAATGTTTCTAAACGTTTTGGATGTAAGAAACAGGATCTCAGTGCGGTTTCAGATCGACGCTGGACGATCTATCGAATTATGGGACGCATCCTGAGTCTTCGCGAAATCGGGATACAAAAGCATTCACGAGATCGCGAGCCACTGTACACTTCACATCGAACCCTAACAGGTTCGAATTGTGAAATGTAACGCGTCCTAACCTGCAACGTCTACCTCAGATTCTCTGTTGTGCGCGAGTGTTCACGAATTATATACGGTGAATGCAATGAAGTCTAAAACTACAAAAACATCTCTGTGTGCAAGGACATCCTCAAATTCTCCCACACTATTCACGGGCTAGATCGTTCTTCACCCATTACTGGTTAGCGGTTTTCACAACATCACGTGCCCGATTTTGTTGAGCCATGCATTGTTGTACAAGGCCAGTCGGTCTACACCTCGCTCGCTACCAACATAGCATGCTTGTGCCTGCGCATTACCGTTTGCATAATTCACTCCCCATCTCGACCATCAAATCAAAAGGACTTCAAATCTCGTTGCTGCTCACTATCATTTCCCCCCAACCCAACCCAACCCCCCATTGGCACTACCGTATCTCCCCAAGCCTCAGCCATTCGATTGAAACACTGGTGGCTGGAGGCACCATATGATCTCACATCTCACCATTGATTCCCAATCCCATCGCCCATCCGCAATCCATCCCCCGAGCAGAATTATTCAGCCAATCCCAAGCAAGAGGCTGAAGATGGCATCAGTGATGGCTGGGGAGAGCATGGGCTCACATCCCTTCCTGCTTCACCATCCCCCCTCCCAGCGCCCCTCCCATCCCCCCACCACCGTTTCCCCCGGCTTCAGCTATCCAGCCAGCCGCCAGCAAGATTCTGAAGATGGCATCAGTGGTGGCGGGGGGCAGGCGGAAGAGTCGGTGCACCGCTGCTCGCGAGATGGCTCCCCCTGAGAGTGCTGCTTGCTGCAGGATAACCTGATGGAATGGGGAGGGGGGGATGCATTAAGAAACGTCAGTGGTGGCGGGAGGCAGGCGGAATAGTCGGTGCATTGCTGCTCGCGAGATGGCCCCCCCTGACAGCGCTGCTTGCTGAAAAATAACCTGTTGAGATGGGCGGCAAGGAAGGAGGGGATGTAGGGAGAAAACGACGGGAACATGCCGTCAGTGATGGCGGGGGCAGGCGGAAGAGTCGGTGGCACTGCTACTCGTGAGATGGTCCCCCCTGAGAGGGCTGCTTGCTGCAAGATAACCTGATAAAATGGGTGGGACGGAAGGAGGGGATGGAAGGAAAGAGGAAGGGTACATGACGTGAGTGGTGGCAGGGGGCAGGCTGGAAGAGTCGGTGCACCGCTGCTCGTGAAATGGTTTCCCCTGACATCGCTGCTTGCTGTAGGATGACCTGATGGGAGGTAGAAGGGGTGGCCGAAGGGAGAGAAGACAGGGCACATGGTGTCAATGGTGGCTGGAGGCAGACGGAACTGTAAGTGCACTGCTGCTCCTGAGAAGGTCCCTCCTGGGAGCGCTGCTTGTTGCAAGATGATCTGATGGATGGGTGGGAGAATGGTTGGCGTGAGAAACGAGGCAGGGAACACACATCTTGTCAGTGGTGGATTGAGCAGGGAAAAGGGTCGGTGCACTTGTGCTTGTGACGTGGGTGGTTGAAGCAGGCCCTTAGACAAGTCTTATCCAGCTAACCTGTTTGGCCCTCTTGAGCCTACTTAGTAGACTGGTCATACACAAAACTACAATAAGAATCTCACGTGCTTGGCCCGGAGGTAGTGTGTCGGCAGCAGTCAATTGTTTAGGCATGCGGTCAGTGTGGCCTCATTTAGGCTCCTCACACGCCTACACAAAGAACCTCACCTGCTTGGTTCGGAGGTAGTGTGCTGGCAGTGTGCCGTGTGCGCGTGTGCATACACAGCTAATACTATTGAGTGTACACACACTTTAAGTTCCTTAAAAGAGGCATCATACACACACACGCGCGTGCTCATGCACGCACACACACACGCACGCACGCACACACGCACACACACACAACACACACACACTAGGCGATTTAGCAGCACACTAAGGTAGTGGCCCAGCACACGAATCTCACCTGCTTGACGCGGAGGTAGTGTGCTGGCAGCAGGCGCATGTGCGTGCACAGCTTACCCACTTGCATGCACACACACTAGGATACTTCATAGCACACCAAAAGGTAGTGGCCCAGCACACGAATCTCACCTGCTTGGCGCAGAGGTAATGTGCCGGCAGCAGCCAAGTTCAGAGGCCGGAATTGTGTGCATCAAAGTCAAACCTTCTTCACCAAACTCACCTGCTTGGCTCGAAGGTAGTGAGCTGGCAGCAGGCGCATGTGCGTGCACAGCTCACGCTCCTGAGCAGATGGCAGAGTTTGGCGTTGTTTGTCGTGATCCGGAAGACATGCACAAGTGGAAGGACGGCAAGTGGACACATGTGTTAGAGGGAGGAGAGAAGGGAGGTTGTGAGGAAGGGAGAGGTTTGCTTTGAAGCATGGACTGAATAGAAAGGAGGAGTCAACAGAAGAAAGATGAAACGGTTTGGAGGCAGAGCGGAGCAGTCACAACAACACAGAGAGGCATGAAGGCAGCATGGAAAGGAGAATGGGAGGCATGTAGATGGTTGGAAGATACCCGACCTTGTGATCTCACCTTGGCAGATATCATCATAGCGCAATATGATTAGAGCGCAACCCCATTAGAGCGAAATAATATATCGGGAATGGATCTCTCACCTTGGGTGACAGCAGGTCGCATCCTGGGTGGGAGGAGATGTCAAGAGCTGCTGAAGCGCCTCCTGATGATGCTGTGCTGATGGCTGGTGGCGCAAGTGGCAAGGGAGCAAAGAGAGAGAGGGAAAAGTGGCAGAATGGAGAAGAACAAGCGGGACACTGGAGCAGGGAAGACGGAGCATGAGGCGATGAGAAAATGGGATCTGTTGCTGATCGTGCTACGCCATTGGCTGTGAGTGCAATTGCAGCAGCAGCAACAGCAGCGGCAGCAGGGTTGTCCTTGTGGCAATACATGTGTTGGTGCTAGCTAGCTTTCACACACATGTGACAGAGAGTGGGTAACACACCTGTGGCGGAGGGTGGAAGGCATGCAATAGCAGCAGCGGCAGCGGCGGGGTTGTCCTTGTAATGCGCCTGGATGAACCGACGACCCTCCGCCAGTGACTTGCACCCCGCTGCTCTGAGTTCCTGTCAGGGACGGGAGGGGCGGACGAAGAAGAACAGGCAACGCAGCAGCAGAAAGAACATCATCAGCAGAAGAAGCAGCAGCGACGGCAACAGCAGCAGCAGCAGCGGGGTTGTCCTTGTAGTGATCCTGGATGATTCGACGACCTTCTGCCAGCGACTTGCACCCCGCTGCTCTCAACTTGTGGTGGCGATGGCATGGCGGGAAGGGGAGAATGGAGAGCACACATAAAGCAGCAGCAGCAGCAGCAGCGGTAGCAGCAGCAGCGGTAGCAGCAGCAGCAGCGGGGTTGTCCTTGTAGTGTGCCTGGATGAACCGACGCCCTTCCTTCTGCCAGTGACTGCACCCCGCTGCTCTCAACTCCTGGAAAGGGGATGTGATGGTGGGGGAGGGGAGGGGATGGGAGGAGAGAGAGTACAATACAACCCTTTGAGGCACCTCATATAATGTTAGAGAACTACACAATCTCTCTGGTTGAGACCCTCCAACCAACCACCCCCCAAGAAGGCCACTCTCACCTACAGTACAACTACTCTGTCTCGCAGCCTCTGTGCCTGGGTCAAACTCTGCACCGGCCCCTCGTGCTCCTTCTCCTCCCCAGGGTACAGAGGCACCACCGACCACTCACCCACACGGAAGCTGCTCTCACCTGCAGCACAGCCACTCTGTCTCTCAGCCTCTGCGCCTGTGTCAAGCTCTGCACCAGCCCCTCATGCTCTTCTGCACTGAGAAATCTCGCTCAAAACACGCGGCACCACAGAAACATCTCCCTCTCCTCCACCTCCGGAAACCCCATATCCCACGAGCAAGCTGCTCTCACCTTAGGGATGAGCAAGGGGCGAACACGAACATGTTCGTGTTCGCCCCTAGACGAACACATCCGTTTGCCGAACCGAACACTGTTCGGTTCGGCGAACACTTTAAGCAAAAACACGTGTTCGCCGTTCGCCTGTGAAGGCATGTTCGGGCGAACATCGAACACGTTCGTGTTCGTCGCGGGGAAAATTGCAGCAGCGGCCCGAACACGAACGTGTTCGGGCGAACATCGAACACTGTTCGGCGAACAATTTAAGCAAAAAAAACAAACCTGTTCGGTTCGCCTCGAACACGTTTGAGGCGAACCGAACAGGTGTTCGCCCTTGTGCTCATGTCTATCTCACCTGCAGGACAGCTACTCTATCCCTCAGCCTCTGCGCCTGAGTCAAGCTCTGCATCAGCCCCTCGTGCTCCTCTGAACTGAGAAAACAACAAACAAGCTGCTCTCACCTGCAGCACGGCCACTCTGTCTCGCAGTCGCTGCGCCTGTGTCAGGCTCCGCACCAGCCCCTCGTGATCTTCTGCACTCCAAATCAGCATTACTACTAGGTGCAATTTCAGACGAGCCACAAGCCTCACCTGCAGCACGGCTACTCTGTCTCGCAGCCTCTGTGCCTGAGTGAGGCTCTGCACCAGCCCCTCATGCTCCTCTGAACTGAGAAATCAACAAGCAAGCTGCTCTCACCTGCAGCACGTCCACTCTGTCTCTGAGTCTCTGTGCCTGAGTGAGGCTCTGCACCAGCCCCTCATGCTCTTCTGAACTGAGAAACCTCGCAAACACACGGCACCGCAGAAACATCTCCCGTTCCTCCTTGGACCTTCTCCTCTCCCCGCCGCTTCCTCGCTTCCCTCCACGCTTCCCTCCCCCCTCCCCCTTCTCCCCCTCTCCCTCTCCCGCCGCCGCTCCCATCTCCCCCACAGCTTCCCCTTCCCTTTCCCCTCCCCTGTTCGCTCCCTCCGCTCCCTCCTCGCTCTTGCGTTCACCTGTCCCGTCCCTGTCCCTGCCCCTGCTGCTGCCGGTGTTGGTTTCGGGTCGAATCGTCCCATCCACTCTTCTCGGGTCTAGCAACCCTCGTTCCAGGACGAAGGCCTTGCGCCGGGACCGCTCTTCCAGCCTGAAGGGGAGAGGGGAGAGGGGAGGAGCGGGAAGGATTTGTAGTTGAATAAAGCTGCGTGAGTGACAACTCTTCTCGGGTCTCGTGAGGATCACGCTCCAGGACGAAGGCCTTGCTCCGGGACCGCTCTTCCAGCCTGGAGCATGAAAGGGAGGAGGGGATGAGAGGGGGAAGGGGGGAGGTGGAGGCGGGTTAATCCGTGCAAAGGTGTGAGAGGAAGATGGTGGATATATTCATCCACTCTTCTCTCTCGGCTCTAGAAGGTCACGCTCCAAGATGAAGGGCTTGCTCCGGGACCACTCTTTGAACCTAAAGCACAGAATAGGGGAAGGGAGGGGGAAGCTTTGTAGACGACAGCTCGTCTTGGGTCAAGCAGACCCCTCTCCAGGATAAAGGCCTTTTGGAGAGACCGCTCTTCCAGCCTGAAGCGGAGAGGGAAGCGGGTGAAGAGGGGGTGGAGTGTAGTAAAAGTGGTTCTTCTAGCCTTGCATTCCAATCTGTTCCATCCACTCTTCTCGGGTCTAGAAGGCCACGTTCCAGGATAAATGCCTTGCGCCGGGACCGCTCTTCCAGCCTGAAGGGGAGAGGCAGAGATGAAAGGAAAAGGAGAAGCTTTGTAGGTGATTGCTCGTCTTGGGTCCAGCAGATCTCGCTCCAGGATAAAGGCCTTGCGCCGGGACCGCTCTCCAACCTGACACAGAGAGGGAGAGCGGGGGGCAGACGATGCTATACGAGCAATGGCTTCCAGCTCTGCCTGCCAGCGATGCCTCCAACCAGCCACACATGTTCTGTACACTCGTGTACGCTGTACACGCTACTGTTACAATTACTATTCATACCACATACACACCTGGAGCAGTAAATGTGCAGCATTTCGGTCTTGAACTCCAGCTCTGCCAGCGATGCCTCTGCCTCTGCCTCTGCCTTTTGAGTCGACTAGCAAGAAATTACCACAACCAAGCGCACCTGGAGTAGTAGATGTGCAGCATTTTAATCTTTAACTGTCTATCCACGCTCGAGTCCGACTCATCATAATACAAACCCCACGCACCGTGAGTAGTAAATATGAAGCATCTTAATCTTTAACTGTCTATCCACTCTCGAGTCCGTCTCTTTGAACTCCAGCTCTGCCAGCGGGGCCTCTGCCTCGTTATCATATTCCGGGTCGAACTCGTTGCGCTTCGTGTTGTACCCGCTCGTTATTGGTGTTGCTGCATCGTCTGTCTTGGTGCCTGGTTCGGGTCTGTGGTGGCGGGTGAGAGCCAACACAGGAGGAGAGAGAGACAAAGGGGAGGCCTTTTGAGATGATTCAAGAGCCGAGGTGGCCTGTGAGTGAGTTAACGCAAAAGAAGCCGGTTTGCTACTGGCTCTGCCAGAGGTGCCTCTGCCTCGTTGTCATACTCCGGGTCAAACTCGTTCGTTGTGCTTCGTGTTGTACCCACTCATTATTGGTGCTGCAGTGTCGTCTGCCTTGGAGCCAGGTTCGGGTCTGTGGTGGTGGGGGGAGGAGAGGAGGAGGGGGGAGGGGAGGAGGGGAGTGTGAGGACGGGGGAGGAGAGGAAAGTTACGAAGAGGCATACAGCAGTGCCTCTGCCTCGCTGTCATATTCGGGGTCCAACTCGTTGCACTTCGTGTTGTACCCGCTGGTCATTGGTGCTGCAGTGTCGTCTGCCTTGCTTCCTGGCCCTGGCCTGTAGAGCAGGGGAGGAGGGGAGGAGGGAGAGGAGAGGTAAGATAAGAGGCATACAGTGGGGCCTCTGCCTCGATGTCGTATTCCGGGTTGATCAGATACTGTCTTGGAGATTCAAACGTTGTGGAGGTGCTGCTGGACTCTGGTCTGTGGGGAGATTGGCGTCTGATACAGAATCGCACAGGACAGGACAGGATAGCACAAGACAGGAGAGGAGAGGAGAGGACAGGACAGGACAGGACAGGACAAGCAGAATGCTTAATTTCAACCGTGACGTACAGACCTTGTTTCAGTCGACTCAATGAGCGCTGACTGGACCACGTCATTAGCACCCTGCCACTAATACTCACTTGACGACAGGAACGTTGAACAGAACTGCCTCCTGCGCCCTCGCAGCAGTCTCTGCTGCCTCCTGCTCCTCCATTGCCATCTTGGCTGCTTCCGTGTCCGCTTGGGTTCGTAGGCGAGTCAGGTCCTGGAGAGGCGGCAATACAGGAGGGACACAGGAGGCACTAAAGAGGGTGAGGAGGGTTAGTGGCGGATAGCAGTCTCTCCTGCCTCCTCCTCCACTGCCACCTTGAGTGCTGCCTTGTTTGCTTGCGTGCGCAGGCGAGATAGGTCCTAGAGAAAGGCAGGAATACAGGAGGGCCATGGGAGGGACACAGATAGAAATTGCGGGTTAAAGCCAAGCCAACAGTCTCTGCTGCCTCCTGCTCCTCCATTGCCGCCTTGGCTGGCTCCGTGTCCTCTTGGGTTTGTAGGCGAGATAGATCCTAGCAAGAGAGGCAGGGACACGGGAGGCACGGAGGAGGAGTTGGACTCAAGTTAGCAGTCTCTGCTGCCTCCTCCTCCATTGCTGTCTTGGCTGCTTCCTCCTCCATTGCTGTCTTGGCTGCTTCCTCCTCCATTGCTGTCTTGGCTGCTTCCTCCTCCATTGCTGTCTTGGCTGCTTCCTCCTCCATTGCTGTCTTGGCTGCTTCCCTGTCCGCTTGCGTGCGCAGGCGAGATAGATCCTAGCAAGAGAGGCAGGGACACAGGAGGGACAAGACAAAGGAGGGACGAGGAATGGACAAGGGTGGCACTGCGGCTTGCTCCCATGCTTACATGCCCCACATGCAGACATGGTTACAGAGTGTACTTACAGGCAGCGGCCCACAGGGCGAGAGCCGGTAGTGGTCGTGGCACTGCGCCTTGCTCATTGCATGCCCGCACCACCACACATACCCGCATGAGGACAGAGACAGTCTACTCACAGGCAGCGGCCCACAGGGCGACAGCAGGTAGTCGTAGAGGTAGTGGTCGTGGCACTGTGTCTTGCTCTTCGCATGCCCACATGCCCACACGCCCACACACACACACACACACACACACACACACACACACACACACACACACACACACACACACACACACACACACACACACACACACACACACACAAGGCTACATACATGGCTCTACTACTCACAGGCAAGGGACCGGTCGGTGACAGCAGGTAGACGTAAAGGTAATGGTCGTGGCACTGCGCCTTGCTCTTCGACTGGCAGGTGGGCAGAGGGTCTACTAGCAAGGTGTGGTGCGGGGATGGTAAACTCACAGGTAATGGACTGGTAGGTGACAGCAGGTAGTCATAAAGGTAATGGTCGTGGCACTGTGCCTTGCTCTTCGACTGGCAGGCAAGGTCAAGGTGTGGTCAACTCACAGGGAGGGGGCCACAGGGCGACAGCAGGTAGTCGTAGAGGTAATGGTCATGGCACTGTGCCTTGCTCTTCGACTGGCAGGTGGGCAGAGGGTCTACTAGCAAGGTGTGGGGATGGTGAACTCACAGGCAAGGGACCAGTAGGTGACAGCAGGTAATCGTAGAGGTAATGGTCGTGGCACTGTGCCTTGCTCTTCGACCCCACGTGCTCTGCAATCTCCCCCCAGTTGCCCATTCCGTACATCTCTAGGGCCTGTGGGTTGCCGTGGGAGAGGGGACGGAAGCGAATAGGAACCATCACATTATGGAATTCAATTTTGAATGAAAGTATTTTCGATGTTCACTTCTCAGATGGAATTATCTCAAACGATATTATCCTTCATGGAAAAAAAGAAAAAATGAAAACAAGAACAAGAAAAAAAACAAAAGCACCCACAAAAAAAAAAAAAAAAAAAAAAAAAAAAAAAAAAAAAAACGAAACCATTCTGAACGGAATTATTTTCTCGACAAGGCTGCGCGTGCCTCCTCACCTCCAGCAGCGCCATCTCTTCATCGGCAGTCCAGTTGTCGTGCACGAGAGGGACGGGAAGCGCAATGACTCATTCTACAAAGAAAACAACCGTAACAATCGTAATCGTACACAATGCCGTGCCATGCCTCACCTCCAGCAGCAGCATCTCCTCGTCAGCAGTCCAGTCCTCGCGGACGAGAGGAAAGCTCATCGTGTCCTGGTGGTGTGGGGTTGATTCGAAACAGTAGGAATGCGTTCGTGAGAAGGTAACCCATGTCATGTTGGTGGGGAGCAGGAGAATAACATGACATGATGAAAACACAAGCACGATGGTCCAACGGGATAACATGACATGATGAAAACACAAGCACGATGGTCCAACGGGATAACATGACATGATGAAAACACAAGCACGATGGTCCAACGGGATAACATGACATGATGAAAACACAAGCACGATGGTCCAACGGGATAACATGACATGATGAAAACACAAGCACGATGGTCCAACGGGATAACATGACATGATGAAAACACAAGCACGATGGTCCAACGGGATAACATGACATGATGAAAACACAAGCACGATGGTCCAACGGGATAACATGACATGATGAAAACACAAGCACGATGGTCCAACGGGATAACATGACATGATGAAAACACAAGCACGATGGTCCAACGGGATAACATGACATGATGAAAACACAAGCACGATGGTCCAACGGGATAACATGACATGATGAAAACACAAGCACGATGGTCCAACGGGATAACATGACATGATGAAAACACAAGCACGATGGTCCAACGGGATAACATGACATGATGAAAACACAAGCACGATGGTCCAACGGGATAACATGACATGATGAAAACACAAGCACGATGGTCCAACGGGATAACATGACATGATGAAAACACAAGCACGATGGTCCAACGGGATAACATGACATGATGAAAACACAAGCACGATGGTCCAACGGGATAACATGACATGATGAAAACACAAGCACGATGGTCCAACGGGATAACATGACATGATGAAAACACAAGCACGATGGTCCAACGGGATAACATGACATGATGAAAACACAAGCACGATGGTCCAACGGGATAACATGACATGATGAAAACACAAGCACGATGGTCCAACGGGATAACATGACATGATGAAAACACAAGCACGATGGTCCAACGGGATAACATGACATGATGAAAACACAAGCACGATGGTCCAACGGGATAACATGACATGATGAAAACACAAGCACGATGGTCCAACGGGATAACATGACATGATGAAAACACAAGCACGATGGTCCAACGGGATAACATGACATGATGAAAACACAAGCACGATGGTCCAACGGGATAACATGACATGATGAAAACACAAGCACGATGGTCCAACGGGATAACATGACATGATGAAAACACAAGCACGATGGTCCAACGGGATAACATGACATGATGAAAACACAAGCACGATGGTCCAACGGGATAACATGACATGATGAAAACACAAGCACGATGGTCCAACGGGATAACATGACATGATGAAAACACAAGCACGATGGTCCAACGGGATAACATGACATGATGAAAACACAAGCACGATGGTCCAACGGGATAACATGACATGATGAAAACACAAGCACGATGGTCCAACGGGATAACATGACATGATGAAAACACAAGCACGATGGTCCAACGGGATAACATGACATGATGAAAACACAAGCACGATGGTCCAACGGGATAACATGACATGATGAAAACACAAGCACGATGGTCCAACGGGATAACATGACATGATGAAAACACAAGCACGATGGTCCAACGGGATAACATGACATGATGAAAACACAAGCACGATGGTCCAACGGGATAACATGACATGATGAAAACACAAGCACGATGGTCCAACGGGATAACATGACATGATGAAAACACAAGCACGATGGTCCAACGGGATAACATGACATGATGAAAACACAAGCACGATGGTCCAACGGGATAACATGACATGATGAAAACACAAGCACGATGGTCCAACGGGATAACATGACATGATGAAAACACAAGCACGATGGTCCAACGGGATAACATGACATGATGAAAACACAAGCACGATGGTCCAACGGGATAACATGACATGATGAAAACACAAGCACGATGGTCCAACGGGATAACATGACATGATGAAAACACAAGCACGATGGTCCAACGGGATAACATGACATGATGAAAACACAAGCACGATGGTCCAACGGGATAACATGACATGATGAAAACACAAGCACGATGGTCCAACGGGATAACATGACATGATGAAAACACAAGCACGATGGTCCAACGGGATAACATGACATGATGAAAACACAAGCACGATGGTCCAACGGGATAACATGACATGATGAAAACACAAGCACGATGGTCCAACGGGATAACATGACATGATGAAAACACAAGCACGATGGTCCAACGGGATAACATGACATGATGAAAACACAAGCACGATGGTCCAACGGGATAACATGACATGATGAAAACACAAGCACGATGGTCCAACGGGATAACATGACATGATGAAAACACAAGCACGATGGTCCAACGGGATAACATGACATGATGAAAACACAAGCACGATGGTCCAACGGGATAACATGACATGATGAAAACACAAGCACGATGGTCCAACGGGATAACATGACATGATGAAAACACAAGCACGATGGTCCAACGGGATAACATGACATGATGAAAACACAAGCACGATGGTCCAACGGGATAACATGACATGATGAAAACACAAGCACGATGGTCCAACGGGATAACATGACATGATGAAAACACAAGCACGATGGTCCAACGGGATAACATGACATGATGAAAACACAAGCACGATGGTCCAACGGGATAACATGACATGATGAAAACACAAGCACGATGGTCCAACGGGATAACATGACATGATGAAAACACAAGCACGATGGTCCAACGGGATAACATGACATGATGAAAACACAAGCACGATGGTCCAACGGGATAACATGACATGATGAAAACACAAGCACGATGGTCCAACGGGATAACATGACATGATGAAAACACAAGCACGATGGTCCAACGGGATAACATGACATGATGAAAACACAAGCACGATGGTCCAACGGGATAACATGACATGATGAAAACACAAGCACGATGGTCCAACGGGATAACATGACATGATGAAAACACAAGCACGATGGTCCAACGGGATAACATGACATGATGAAAACACAAGCACGATGGTCCAACGGGATAACATGACATGATGAAAACACAAGCACGATGGTCCAACGGGATAACATGACATGACGAAAACACAAGCACGATGGTCCAACGGGATAACATGACATGATGAAAACACAAGCACGATGGTCCAACGGGATAACATGACATGACGAAAACACAAGCACGATGGTCCAACGGGATAACATGACATGATGAAAACACAAGCACGATGGTCCAACGGGATAACATGACATGATGAAAACACAAGCACGATGGTCCAACGGGATAACATGACATGATGAAAACACAAGCACGATGGTCCAACGGGATAACATGACATGATGAAAACACAAGCACGATGGTCCAACGGGATAACATGACATGATGAAAACACAAGCACGATGGTCCAACGGGATAACATGACATGATGAAAACACAAGCACGATGGTCCAACGGGATAACATGACATGACGAAAACACAAGCACGATGGTCCAACGGGATAACATGACATGATGAAAACACAAGCACGATGGTCCAACGGGATAACATGACATGACGAAAACACAAGCACGATGGTCCAACGGGATAACATGACATGATGAAAACACAAGCACGATGGTCCAACGGGATAACATGACATGACGAAAACACAAGCACGATGGTCCAACGGGATAACATGACATGATGAAAACACAAGCACGATGGTCCAACGGGATAACATGACATGACGAAAACACAAGCACGATGGTCCAACGGGATAACATGACATGATGAAAACACAAGCACGATGGTCCAACGGGATAACATGACATGATGAAAACACAAGCACGATGGTCCAACGGGATAACATGACATGATGAAAACACAAGCACGATGGTCCAACGGGATAACATGACATGATGAAAACACAAGCACGATGGTCCAACGGGATAACATGACATGATGAAAACACAAGCACGATGGTCCAACGGGATAACATGACATGACGAAAACACAAGCACGATGGTCCAACGGGATAACATGACATGATGAAAACACAAGCACGATGGTCCAACGGGATAACATGACATGATGAAAACACAAGCACGATGGTCCAACGGGATAACATGACATGATGAAAACACAAGCACGATGGTCCAACGGGATAACATGACATGATGAAAACACAAGCACGATGGTCCAACGGGATAACATGACATGATGAAAACACAAGCACGATGGTCCAACGGGATAACATGACATGATGAAAACACAAGCACGATGGTCCAACGGGATAACATGACATGATGAAAACACAAGCACGATGGTCCAACGGGATAACATGACATGATGAAAACACAAGCACGATGGTCCAACGGGATAACATGACATGATGAAAACACAAGCACGATGGTCCAACGGGATAACATGACATGATGAAAACACAAGCACGATGGTCCAACGGGATAACATGACATGATGAAAACACAAGCACGATGGTCCAACGGGATAACATGACATGATGAAAACACAAGCACGATGGTCCAACGGGATAACATGACATGTTGAAAACACAAGCACGATGGTCCAACGGGATAACATGACATGATGAAAACACAAGCACGATGGTCCAACGGGATAACATGACATGATGAAAACACAAGCACGATGGTCCAACGGGATAACATGACATGATGAAAACACAAGCACGATGGTCCAACGGGATAACATGACATGATGAAATCACAAGCACGATGGTCCAACGGGATAACATGACATGATGAAAACACAAGCACGATGGTCCAACGGGATAACATGACATGATGAAAACACAAGCACGATGGTCCAACGGGATAACATGACATGATGAAAACACAAGCACGATGGTCCAACGGGATAACATGACATGATGAAAACACAAGCACGATGGTCCAACGGGATAACATGACATGATGAAAACACAAGCACGATGGTCCAACGGGATAACATGACATGATGAAAACACAAGCACGATGGTCCAACGGGATAACATGACATGATGAAAACACAAGCACGATGGTCCAACGGGATAACATGACATGATGAAAACACAAGCACGATGGTCCAACGGGATAACATGACATGATGAAAACACAAGCACGATGGTCCAACGGGATAACATGACATGATGAAAACACAAGCACGATGGTCCAACGGGATAACATGACATGATGAAAACACAAGCACGATGGTCCAACGGGATAACATGACATGATGAAAACACAAGCACGATGGTCCAACGGGATAACATGACATGATGAAAACACAAGCACGATGGTCCAACGGGATAACATGACATGATGAAAACACAAGCACGATGGTCCAACGGGATAACATGACATGATGAAAACACAAGCACGATGGTCCAACGGGATAACATGACATGATGAAAACACAAGCACGATGGTCCAACGGGATAACATGACATGATGAAAACACAAGCACGATGGCCCAACGGGATAACATGACATGATGAAAACACAAGCACGATGGTCCAACGGGATAACATGACATGATGAAAACACAAGCACGATGGTCCAACGGGATAACATGACATGATGAAAACACAAGCACGATGGTCCAACGGGATAACATGACATGATGAAAACACAAGCACGATGGTCCAACGGGATAACATGACATGATGAAAACACAAGCACGATGGTCCAACGGGATAACATGACATGATGAAAACACAAGCACGATGGTCCAACGGGATAACATGACATGATGAAAACACAAGCACGATGGTCCAACGGGATAACATGACATGATGAAAACACAAGCACGATGGTCCAACGGGATAACATGACATGATGAAAACACAAGCACGATGGTCCAACGGGATAACATGACATGATGAAAACACAAGCACGATGGTCCAACGGGATAACATGACATGATGAAAACACAAGCACGATGGTCCAACGGGATAACATGACATGATGAAAACACAAGCACGATGGTCCAACGGGATAACATGACATGATGAAAACACAAGCACGATGGTCCAACGGGATAACATGACATGATGAAAACACAAGCACGATGGTCCAACGGGATAACATGACATGATGAAAACACAAGCACGATGGTCCAACGGGATAACATGACATGATGAAAACACAAGCACGATGGTCCAACGGGATAACATGACATGATGAAAACACAAGCACGATGGTCCAACGGGATAACATGACATGATGAAAACACAAGCAGCAGCCCGTTGCCCTTTTTCCCCCTCCCCCTCCCTTTCTTCCTTCCCCTTCCTCTGCCCCTCCCCCTGCCCACTCACCATGACGTGGTAGGGGTGGGAGGGCTTGTGGGGGTGAGCAGCGGCGCCCCTTCCCCCTTACCTTCCCCCCCCCATTCCATCTCACACTTCCCCCCCTCCCCCTCCCCCTCCCACTCACCATGACGTGGTAGGGGTGGGAGGGCTTGTGGGTGTGAGCAGCGGCGCCCCTTCCCCCTTACCTTCCCTCTCCCATTCCATCTCACATTTTCCCCCCTCCCCCTCCCCCTCCCACTCACCATGACGTGGTAGGGGTGGGAGGGCTTGTGGGTGTGAGCAGCGGCGCCCCTTCCCCCTTACCTTCCCCCTCCCATTCCATCTCACATTTCCCCCCCTCCCCCTCCCCCTTCCACTCACCATGACGTGGTAGGGGTGGGAGGGCTTGTGGGGGTGAGCAGAGGCTCCCCTTCCCACTCCCCCTCCCCCTCCCCCTCCCCCTTCCCCACCCACCTCCCACTCACCATCACATGGTAGGGATGTGAGGCAGAGTGCGGGTGAGCAGTGGCGCCCACGGAGAAGCATTCAGCGCAGAGGTCAAAGTCCACACACGCCGCACACTTCACGCGCACCTCCCCCGTCACGTCCCTGTGGCAGTAGTTGCAATGATACACCCCCTTCCGTGCGCCCCCCCCTGTTCCCCCCGGTCCCCCGCCCCCCGGTCCCCCCCCGCCTCCCCCTGCTGCTGCGCCTGTGCCTTCCCCCCCTGCTCCTGCGCCTCCCCCTCCGCTGCTTCCTCCACCCACGGCGTCCTGCCAGCTTGTGGTGGCATAACGGCGGCGCTTGGGCCTGGGGGAGGGGAAGGGGTGGGAAAGGTGAGGGGGAGGGGACGCGGAAGGGAAGGGAACGGGAATGGGAACGAGAATGGGAAAAGAAGGGGAAGGGGAAGGGGAATGGGGGGGTGGAAGGGCGAAGGGGAAGGTGAGGGGGAAGGGGATAAAAAGGGCAGAGGGGAGTTGGGAAGGAACGGAGCGAGGCAAAGGGAAAAGGAACGGTTGAAGGGGAAAGTTGTCCTCAGTTCTCTCATCATCACCCCCCCAGAGTCCTGCCAGCTTGGATTGAGGGAAGAGGAAGGGGAGGGGGATGGGGATTGGGGGGGAGGATGGGGGACGAAGGGAAAGAGAGGAGGGCCGTGGGAATAGTGGAAGCTGGGAAAAAAAAAAAAAAAAAAAGTTGGATAGATTGGCTCGGCAGAGTAAGTAATATGCGTAGGTGACGTTACGTGATGTGACTCAAGAAATGGAAGCGTGAAGGATACTAGTACAAGCAACATGTGATACATCACACACAGTACATGTGATACATCACACACAGTACATGTGATACATCACACACAGTACATGTGATACATCACACACAGTACATGTGATACATCACACACAGTACATGTGATACATCACACACAGTACATGTGATACATCACACACAGTACATGTGATACATCACACACAGTACATGTGATACATCACACACAGTACCTTCACACACCTGGAACCCCCACTAGGAGCAAAGCCCCCTCCCTGCGTATCTATTTTTGAGATATCTCAAATCTCCTCTCTCCCCCCTCTCTTTGCGTATCCCGTTAGTAGCACGTGCGTTACCAGCACTTCTAATGCTAGGAGCGTGGTACTCCTCCCTGCTTAGCTCAACCGATACTAGCACCAGCTTACAAATTATCCCTTACCTGGAACCCCCACTAGGTACGTGATCCTCCTCCCAGGCTCCCTTATTAGCTCACCTGTTACTAGCACCCTTAACATACCATCCAGACCACACTGCACCCCTCACCTGGAGCCCCCACTAGGGGCGTGGTCCTCCTCCCCGGCTCCCCTCGACCGTCCCATTTGGAGCCGAGCCTCACACTCGGAGGCTCGGAGACTACGAGGCTGGGAGGGTCGGAATAGAAGACTTGGAAACTGGGAAAGTCAAAGACGTCGCAGGATTTACGGGCGCAGATTCAGGATTCAGCGAAACGATGAATGATTTCAACCGCGGATTCGGCTGTTTTCGTCGGCGTCAGAACAAACCGCGAAACGAAGCTGCACGTAGGAATGCAGACCAAGTCGGTACCAATAACATGGACGGACTCTTACGAAGACTGGTATCGGTCGGCAGTGTACACGGGAAGCTAGTTGTCGCTCAAAGATCACCAGATAGCAGCGACGACGACGAAACGACAGGTTGGAAGTGCTAACCACCAATTTACCGACTGGTTATAATTTGCACGAGATGTTGCGAAATGAAAGGTAATTGGTCTTTTATCGCAGCGCGACAAACGCGGAAGCTCGTTCCGGTCGGCAACGGAGATACGGGCTTGTGACTGTAATGAGTGGTAGTAAATCTGTAGAGCACAAACAAATATCACGCAACTATTGACACGTCGATACCCCACAGCGAAGCTAAGAACTAGGCGCGACGCGAGAGGCCGCGTCGAAAGATGGGGAAGGCCCGCACGCGGACACAAGCGGCGTGCGCTAGCGCAACATGCGGACAGCTATAGCGGTTTTGGCGGGAAAGATTGCTGGAGAGTGTCACCAGTGGCAGATTCGCTATAAGAAGATCTGAATTCAGAGCAGGCTTTTCACATTAATGTGATTGCACCAGAGATTGCACCAGCCCCTCAAGGTATAGAATACCCTGCTCTCCTTAGATTGTATACCATGCCCTCCTTTTGCTACAACTTTATAATCAAACAGGTGAATGCAATAAACGATTCAGGCACTCATCGCTTCACCATATGGACATTCGTTACAACGCATGGGACATGCAATAAAGCCACCTCTACTATTACAATTATTTGTTACACCATCATTTCCTGTAACCGTAGGGCAGCGACCAGCATCTCATTCCAAGTATCCGGTACTCCAGGCACACAAAAGTGACTGCAATCTTCCCTTTCCGTCTTCCCCACACGCATTTCAGCAGGAAGTGACGAGCCCACATGAGCATCAAATCGAGCATCAGTTAACCCCCCTGCCTGCAGCAGCACAACCCTGTCCCCCCTCCCCATCTCCCTCTCAACCACCCTTTCCATCTGCCCCACACTCGACTGCACCCACTCCCTCCTCTCCCTCCTCTCCCTCTCCTGCCGCCACCGCCACCGCTGCCACCGCTGCTGATGCGCCTGCTCCTCCCCTCCCTCCTCCAACCACTCTCTCGGCCTCGAAAACCCACTACACCACCCGTTGTTTCGACATGTGGCGTCGTCAGGCAGGCAGAGCGAGCTGCTGTTGTCCTGGTCTGCCCGGAAATAATGTTCTCGGGGCAGAGCGAGGAAGAAAGTAGGGAGGGATTCGGCGGTGGGCTGGGAGGAGAGGAAATGGTGCAGCATGCGGAGGGTCTTGGTGAAAGCTGCTACCGGGTCAAGAAAGTCAACCGAGTCAAGCAGGTTAGGTGGGAGCGCACTATCAGCCGATCCCGGTGAATCATTCTCCTTATTAGCAGTCTCCTTACTCACACCCCCCTCGCGAACCTCCTCATCATTCTCTGTGCGTGAGACAGCGTTAAAACTGTGCTCCCGCCCAGGCACTTCATCCGCTTCCACTGAAGTTTGAGTCGCCTCAGAACTCTGCCCCTGCTCCACCCCTCCTTCCGCTTCCACTGCGTCTTCCCCCTCAAAAAAATCGACTCGACTGACAGAAAACCCGCTTTCAGACGCCCCCTCTTGGACCATGCTAGGTGCATCTGCCGTGAAACCACCACCCTGCTGCACTTCATCAATTTCCACCACCCTATCCTCCTCAAGAGAGCTGCCTTGACCGAATGAAGAGTGTGCTTCATACACCTCTTCTTGGACCAAGCTAGGTTCATCCGCCATGAAACCACCACCTTGCTGCTGCTGCTCCGCCCCCTCTATTCTCACATCACCCCCCTCCACTATAAATCCACCCATTGGCTCCCTTAAACCCCCCTCTGCCTCATCTGCACCATTCGTGCTACGAAGGGTCCCCGCCTCATCTGAACCGTCCGTGCCATCAAGCATCGCCATCTGGTCTGCCTTCACATGGGAGTCAACGCGTGTCAGAAGCAGGGGCGCCTGAGAGAGGAAAAAACGGCCTTCACCATCTCCCTTATAGAGGCCCTTGCTATCAACAGCCATTTGATGCTCAAAATGCATGGGAACCAGAGGCGTGCGGGGACGGAAGGAGTCACTTTCGGCATCCTCCTTCGGGACAATCTCTGTGCTTTCAAGATGGCTCAGCAGGTGCCGTTGCCACCACAGCCACTTGCCAATCCTTCCCCTCCCTCTCCTCCTCCCCCCCCCCCCCCCTTCCTCCCCTCCTTGTGGCTGTCCCTGGCACCCCCACTTGCGATGTTGCTGCTGGTGCTATTGCTGGCATTTGAAATGCTGCTGCCACTGGTACTGCTACTGCTGCTGCTGTTGTCACTCTCGATACTGTCACTCTGGAGAATAACATCATCACCAAAATCGCCCATTCGCAACCCCCCTCCTTCAGACGGATCAGTCTGAGAACCACTGGTGGTGTCCCCTCCTCCTCCACTACTAGTGGTCTGACTGCTGTTGTCGCCACCCTGTTTCATCTCACCCTCCACCTTCGTCCCAGCCTTCTTCGAAATCGCCTTGCCTCCTTTCCCTTGCCCCTCGCTTCCCTTCCCTTGCCCCTCGCCTTGCTTCCCCTGCCCCTTGCCTTGCTTTCCCTGGCCCCCAGACCCAGAATCCTGCTTTTCCCATCGTCTTCTCTCACCTTCCTTGACTCCTTTCTGTCCTCCATCCTTCCTCAATCGTTCGGCCTTCCCTCCTCCCCCTCCCCATCGTGCACCAGTTATTGGCACCGCTGTTACAGCTTTTCTTTGCTCCTTCACCTTATCAACCATGCTTACTCCTTTCCCCCCTTCTTTCTTCGACTCACTGCCTGCCTGCTTTCCTGCCCCTCCTCCTTGCAACCCAGCTTTACTATTGCCTCCCAATGCCATCCCAGCATTCCCTTTGTTTCCCGCACTGATTTTGCTATCCCCCCCACTGTTCCCCTTCTTTCCCCCACCATTCCCTTTGTTTCCCTGTCCAATTTTCTTGTTTCCCCCACCCTTGCCATGGTTGCCCTCAATGTTTCCCTGTTTTCCACCGCCACGGCCTTTGAGTTTCCAACCACTGACCCCATTTCCCCCAATATCCCCCTTATTCCCCCCACCAACCCCCTTACTGCCCCCACCACTTCCCTTATTCCCCCCACCGACCCCCTTACTGCCCCCAGCCTTGCCCTGATTCCTTTCACCCTTCCCCTTATTTCCAGCGCCATTTCTGCCGATTTCCCCACCAGCCTCTACTTTTTCACCACCAGGCTTCCCCTTTCCCTCACCAACCCCCTCTTTTCCCCCACCAGCCTCCCCCTTTCCCTCATCAGCCTCCCTCTTTCCCCCACCCATCTCCGCATTTTCCCCACCGGCCTTCCCCTTTCCCCCATCTGGCCCACCCTTTCCCCCACCAACCTCCCCCTTTCCCCCCCAAACCTCCCCCTTTCTGCCACCATCCTTCCCTTTTCCCCCGCCAGCTTCCCCCTTTCCCCCAACAGCCTCCCTTTTTCCCCCACCAACTTCCACCTTGCCTTCCCCTCCCCCTTCTCCCCCTCCCACTTTCCTCGAACCCATCCCTCCCTTCACTCCCCCCTTCACTCCTTCCTCAACTCCGTTCTCAGCCACTGCATCAGAAACCTTCCTTTCATTCGCTGCTACACTCTGCCCCTTCTGCCCCTTTTGCCCTTCCTGCCCCTTCTGCCTCTCCTTCCCCTTCTGCCCTTCCTTCCCCTTCTGCCCCTCCTTCCCCTTCTGCCCATTCTTCCCCTTCTGCCTCTCCTTCCCCTTCTGCCCTTCCTTCCCCTTCTCCCCCTCCTGCCCCTTCTGCCCCTCCTGCTCCTTCTGCCTCTTCTGCCCCTCCTGCCCCTCCTGCCCCTTCTGCCCCTTCTGCCCCTTCTGCCCTTTCTGCCCCTCCTGCCCCTCTTGCCCCTCCTGAGAGGCATGCGAACGCGCCCTATGCTCCTGAGAAGCATGTAAACGCGCCCTATGCTGCTGCCATCGCTGCTGCAGCTCCACCCACGCCCCTCCCGTGTGAATCACCAGCACATGCGGCTGTGCTGCCACCACATACGCTGCCCATGCATCCAACCGCACCACCCGCACCGCTCCCAACCCCTCCGAACCTGGCCTTAGAGCACCCGACCTGTCCGAACCCGGTTCCACCGCATTCAACCCATTCGCGCCTGGCTCCTGGCTGGTTTCAGAAGTGTCTGTAAGGAGACTTCTGCCAATGCCTGTGTTGCTACTGCTACCAAAGCTAGCAACGATATTGGTGGCAGTAATACTGCTGTTATTAATGCCCTCAGACATATTCTTGGTCGATAAAGGATTAGGCGTATCTGGAACAGCCATACTTGCAGGAGGTGTGTCTGGGGCAGGTGTATCTGATTGCTCGAGAGCATGTGAAGGGGCGGATTCCAGGACGGTTAGAAATTCAGAGTGGAAAAAGTCAAGGCTTGTGTTGGTGAGGGGGAATGTATACTGGAAGATGAGAGGATCGGGGGAGGGGGCTTTGGAGCCTGCAGGGGAAGAAAGTGAGGAGGAGGAAGAGGAGGGGGATGAGGATAGAAGGGAGGGAGACGAGGACGAAGGGTGGAGGAGGGAGGGGAAGGTGCGGTTGAGTCGCTCTGTTGGCAGGCTGTGATTGGGTGGGAGGGAGGGACCCACTGAGAGAAGGCAGAGCAGCGACTGGAACATCTGCAGGGCAGCGAGGGGAAGAAGAGAGGTGAGAAGAGGGGGTATAATCTGAGGAGCGAGAGGGAGAAAGGAAGAATTGAGAATATGCTGTGAATGGGTGGGAGGGAGGGACCCACGGCGAGCGGGCAGAGAGCAGCGACTGGAACATCTGCACGCAAGGGACTGAGGGAATGTAATAGGAGTGGGGAGAGATGGAGGATACGCGGCAGGAGGAGGGGGGAAGGGAGGAGTCGTTATGGTGGTTAGGAATGAGCATTAAAAGGCAGAGGTCAAAGGAGGGAGCTGGAACAATTGCAGACTTGATGGATGGAGAGAAAAAAAGAGGGTGGGAAAGGTGGGGGAAAGTGGTTTGGGAGGAGAGGGGGAAGAGGGGGAAAGATAGGAGGAAGGAAGACAGATGAACGCATTGGAACAAACTGAGAGAAAGGTCGAGTCCCCCCAAGATTTTCCTTTTTAGGCGCTTCAAAAGTTTTTTGGGACTTACCGAGAGCAGTGTAGAGTCGCCCACGAAGACGATCCGACGGTTCTGGAAGGCCTCGAAAAAACGATCAGCACGAAAGCGAGTGAATGGGTGTACGCAGTCACTCTCGCGCCATGCGAAGTGGAGATAGTCAAAGTCTGTGCGGCCATTCTCCTGAAATATTGGGATGGGGGGGAGGGTTAGTGTTTGTACGAGAGTGAGGAGAAGGGCAAGGAGAATGATTGGATGGGAGGGTGTAGTCGCTCTCGCGCCATATGATGTGAGGAACAAACACTCTTCTGCTGCACAAAACGGATTGGATACACCCTTTTTCTTTTGCTCAAATCTCACTCACCCTCCCTCCTCACCAGGCAGTTGAATGTGCCACTAATGAAGGGACAGTCTTCTGCTGCGTACAGCGGATACCCCTCCCTCTCCACTTGCCAGTCCCCCCTCCCCAGCTCACACACTCCCTCCCCCCTCCTCGGCCTCCACACCTCCCCCTTTCTCACTCCCCACCCATTTCCCCCCACAATTCCTCCTACTTTCCCTCCTCCTCCTCCGCTTCCTTGTCCCTTCTCCCCCCCAGCAGCAGGAAGTGCCTCAACAGAGGTGTGATTGAAGCGAAGGGCGCGGAAGTGCGGGTGGGAGGAGGTGGAGAGGTGGAGCATGACCCAGGGCATTATAACGAGGGAGAAGAACATCACAGCACACGCGCTCCAAGCAGCCGCCACCACCACCAGCACCCGCAGCACCACCACCGCCGCCTGGGGTAACCCTTCCTGTAGCCTGCTCACCCAGTGCTTGCGTGCTTGTAACGCAGCCACCGCTGCAGCGGCGCCTGCGGATGTGACTGTACCGAATGGGTTTTGTTTCCCATTCGCCGCTGCCTGCGTGCTGGTGGTTGAATTTGGGCCGCCTGGGCATACTTCCGAGAGTGTACTGTAACCTTTTGGGCCTGATTCCGAGATTATACCGAGGTCTGAGCTTATACCGAGTTCGGATCTTGTAGCGAAGTATCCCGGGCGACGAATCGCCGGGGCTGGGGCGACGGCGGTGCTGCTTCCCTGCGGAGCGATGTGAGGCTGGGGGAGGCTGTGCGCGGGAGAATGGTCTAATACGGCCCTCGGTATTGCCGACGAGCGCGCTGATTCTGATTCTGATACTGCTGCTGTTGGGAGAAGACCGTTTGCTGATGTAACAGCAGCGGGTAGTGATGCTGCTGTTGGTGACGCGGCTGACCCGATTGATGCTGCTTCGTTCGATTCCGTCCTTGATAAGATCGTTACCGTCGAACCGGCAAGTTGCGAATCTTCCGTCGCTGGGAATCGCGTGCCTGGGTCAGCAGAGTATCGCGCTGCTAGTGTTGCTTCGCCTGCTGATGCGCTACGTCTTTCTACAAAGGTGGCCCTGGCTGCATGAGGTTCCATTCTCGCGGTTTCGGTTACATCCAGTCCATTTCCGTGTGAAAAAGCAGTTGGCTTCTTCCCCATCGTGCTCTTACACCTCTCCCTTTTTGGTGCCAGCAAGGTCAACACATATTCCAAGAAAAAGCTGCCGGTTTCCACGCTGCTCGAAACCAAGCAATGGCAGTTTATGTGGATGTTCCTTTGTCGAGAGGGGCAGTCCACACTCACGCACAGTAGGCTGAATCAGGCCGGTTCGTTCGGGTAACCAACGCACAGTGTCGAAATTTCTGCATGGCGTTTCGACTCTGGTGGTAACATTACCTCGCAAAACGTCGTCATCGTGGATTCACTAACATGATCTACGAAATAGAGCGAACTTGAACGCGCTGTTCTGGACGAAGGGCTCTGTTGGTTCAGTTTCGCTCAAATGTACCACACCAGGATTCCTTTCACCACCCAACTTCGAGCTCAAGTTGGTGTGCTGTCGAATCCCCACGGTTTCCCTCGGTTCAAAGCGGCAAAGAGGGATGAACTCTTAATCTCCAGCGCACTCCAACTGAGACACCCCCGATTCCTTGTAGGCTCCCAGGATTGGTCTAGATCAATTGAGCAGCAAGACCCAGAATCAAGTTCGCTAACCAAGTTTCACGCTGAGGGTGCTCACTCGCTTGTTCCTCTTGTCACCAAGCTGAGTCGAGTTCAATGGCGACGGCGACCGCAAGGCTGTTGGAGGAGATCGTGAGCGTAGGGACAAGATTAGCCGTTCGATTCGACGATGCCAGGAGGGAGTTGGAAGCGGAAAAGCGACCGAGAAGAGAATTCACGGAGAGCCCAACGCGGACTGCCAAATTGGAGAGTCTGGAGGTACTTTTGAGAGAAATGAGGGAAGAACACAATAAGAGCATAAGCGAACTTAGGAATGAACTAGCAGTTGAGAGGGCTGCAAGGGAGGAGAAGGATAAGGAGGTGGCTGGACTGACAGTGCGACTCTCGCAGGCAGAGGAATCGCTGTTGCATCAGAAGGACGAAACGTGCAAGATTTGGGAGGTGAGCGGAAACGTTTCTTTAAGCAGGTCATTTAAACGGAAATAGAACTACGCCCCTACCCCCGAGTTTAGCGTTTCCTTATGATGCGTTGATTCAGGCGATTTCTCGGGCTTTGTGCCAGTCAACAGCTGGTGCAGTTGTTCAGGATGAAGCTCGGGATTCAGAAAATGATAAGGAATCACTTTTGTCCACATTCGTAGCACAATCGGCGCTGGCCGTAAAAGCGCTGGAGCAGCAAAATGAGGAAACGAGGAAGGTCTGGAAGGTGAGTATCCATCTTGTCAGGGGTCTGTGTTGAACATACGCATCTATTTCTGTTTGCCAGGCTAATCCCCAATGTACTGATGTTTCCAGGCTATTTATGTGACTTCAGAACCGGGATTGTCCCATTGGCTACCGACATGTGCAGATGTGAAGATAATTGATGCTCATTCTAATACAACGGTATTGGAGCTGAACTTTGACGATGGGCCAGTCAGTGATCTTGGACTTCTTCACCTTCCTTACTTGACATCCCTAAAGAGCCTCAGAATTCCTTATTGCGTCGACGTAACGGCCTTGAGCCACCTCTACGCCATGACATGGCTGGAGGAGCTGAAACTCGAGTCACACGGTTTTCTCGACAAAAACATTCAGGGAATCGGCAATCTGATGGCTCTCCACCGACTTGAACTCATCGGAACGCAGGTTACAGATTCTGGGCTTTTTAATCTGAAATACCTTGGGTCCCTTAAAGTCCTGGTCCTTTCTCGTGGCCAGAATAACTCCTACCATGCCACAAATAGTTTCTCATCAGCTGGCATGGTGCACGTGGGGAAGCTGACGAGTCTTGAAGCTCTGGATATTGGTATCTCTAATGTCGGAGATGATGGGCTGGCCCATCTGGTGCCTCTGTCAAAGCTGACATGGCTCAGCCTGCCAAGGTACATCACTGACCAGGGCATGGTGCACCTGAAACACTTCAAATTCCTCAAGACCGTCTGGTTGAGGAATTACTTTCAAGATTACCAGCATGACATCGAGTGCTTGAAGGCCCTTCCATGCCTTGAGAAGGTTGGAGTGCGAGACTGGCAGGCAGCAACAGAGGCTTCAAGGGACCTTCCTAATGTGAAGGTTGCCGTCTGCACGGAGTTTGAGCCTTATTGTGTATAGGTCTTGGAGTGTTAAAAAAATCATCGTTTTATGAAAAACAATGCTGCATGCTTCACGTGCCCCGCCTTTGGGGGCCTGGGCCTGGAGTGAAGAGACTAATGGATGGGCGGGAGGTGAGAGTCTGAGGTCAGGATTTAGCCTTGTCATTCTTGGACAAGGTCGACTGCCGGTTAGGGCCAGGAGATTGAGAACACAGATTTGGAAAGGCTAGTCATTTTGCTACACTTTTTCCAGCTATGGTATTTAGGTTCCTCCTATCCCTGTCCTGTGGCTTACCGTACCTGGACACGATGACTGTCCTTGTTAAAATAGTAGGTGAACCTGGGCTTAGGAGAAACCCTAGCCTAGGTGAATGTCGAGAGGAAGGAGAGAGAGTAGCACAGAAGGATGGTTGCACTATACAATTGCAAGTACAAATGATGAGAAACATGCAAGGAGAGGTGCACCACAAGCAGGAAATCATGATGCCTACACTACAACTACAAGCAGTTATAAAATATGTAAACATATTTCGACAGTCCTTGCTTTGTGCTTTACTGAACTTGTGTGTACACTCCTCAGAGTGTGTTTTTCTTCGAAATATTTTTCCCGCATGAACTCTATCTTGAAATCTCTCAAATCACCTTGAAAATCCGAATATATTGTAGAACAATTGCGCACATTCTTGATCTTCCGGTTGCACAAGGGCACTTGCCACGCCTGTCCCTGACCTTTTAGGCGCATGTGCAGCACATTATGTGGCCACACGCACAAACGCTGCCCTCCTTGGCCTCTCCATGCACACACAACACTTCCCCTCCTCCCCTCCCCACCCACCCCCTCCTCCCCTCCACTCACTTCACCAACCGCTGCTGCTGCTCCTGCTCTCTCTCCCATTTGCCTCCCTCCCGCCCCTCCTCTGGACTGCCTGTCCCTGCACCTCTCCTCTTCTTCCTCCTTTGCTTCTTCCCTCGATCTATTTATCAGAACGTTCCTCCGGCCGGTTGCCCGAAACCCTGATGCATGTGTGTGGGTGGGGTGAGAGCACGGCTCTGGGTTTGTCTGGATGCCACCTGGATTGGTGGGCCACCCAGGACTGCGACACCATGGTCCCTGCTAAACTGTCTGTTCTAGCAGCTTTTCGTTCCTACCTCCCCCAAACATCTCATACAGGTGAAGCTGCTGAAAACCTCATTGGGACAGACGGTTCAAGATCAAGATACTTCATATGTGTAACTCTCCAGGTGTGCGTGGTTAATTTTACTATGCATAGATAGGTCCACCTCTAAGACTCCTCAAATATAAGGTGTAACGTAACGTAAGGTGTAACACAAGGTGCAAGGCCCCAGAGAATCTCCCCTCCTCCCCAACTCTCCCTCTCCTCTTCTCCCTCTCCGTTTTAGGCTGGAAGAAAGGTTCCGGCCTTTGCCTTGAGCGCGATGTGCTTGACTCCAGAAGAGCAACCACTCAAATAGCATCATTCCGCTGCAAACCCTTCCAACCCCTCCTCTCTCTACTCTCCCCCCTCCTCTCTTCAGGCTAGAGGAGCGGTCCCAGCGCAAGGCCTTCATCCTGGAGCATGGTCTGCTGGACCCGAGAAGAGTGGACGGAATGATCCGATCCCAAACAAACACCAGTAGCAGCAGGGGCAGGGAGCAGGACAGGGCAGAGGAGGCGGCGGAACGAGGAGGGGAAAGGGAAGGCGGGGGTGAAAGGGAGATGGGGGGAGAGTAAGGAGAAGGGGGAGGGAAACGCGGAGGAGGGAAGCGAGGAGGCGGCGGGGAGAGGAGATCAAAGGAGGAAAGGGAGATGTTTCTGCGGTGCTGCGTGTTTACGCAGTTACTCAGTCCTGAGCAGCATGAGGGGCTGGTGCAGATGCTTACCCAGGCGCAGCGACTGAGGGAGAGTGGCCGTGCTGCAGGTGAGGCTTGTGGTTTGCTTGTGTGGATGTGTGGTGGTGGTGTCAGCACAGAAGCAGTACTTTCAAAGTAAGACAGGTTTGTGCGCTGCTGGAGATGTTTCTGTGGGAGATGTTTCTGTGGGAGATGTTTCTGTGGGAGATGTTTCTACAGTTCCTCTGCGCAGAGCACGAGGGTCTGGCAGATGCAGAACCTGACTCAAATAAGAGAGACTGAGACAAAGTGGCCGTGCCGCAGGTGAGGCTTGTAGTTTGACTGAGATAGCACCTAGTAAGTAAGTAGTGCTCATTTGAGACATCAACTGCTGAGTATGAACTCCCCGCCCCGCTGCTGCTGCTACTGCTGCTGCCATCGCGTGCCTTTCCACCATCTCTTGTTACACGTTCCTGTTCTATTACCAAGCTCGTGTTTCTGCCCTCCCTTTCCTTCTTTGACAGTTGCACTCACAGCAACCAGCACAGCACCATCAGCAAGAGGTCCCTCCTCCCCATCATCTCATGCTCCATTTTCCCTGCTCATTCGTCCCACGCGTTCTTCACCCCTCTGCCACTTTTTCCTCACTCTCTTTGTTCCTTTGCCACTTGTGCCACCAGCCATCGGCACAGCATCATCAGGAGGTCCCTCAGCTGCTCTTGACATCTCCTCCCACCCCATGTGTGCTTCTATCAGCCAAGCCAAGGTAAGAAATTCATTCCCAATAGATCAATATGTGCTGCTATCAACCAATCTGGGATCATGAGGATTATCTTCTTCCAGTTCCAACCATACACATGTCCCCGATACTCGTTTCCATGCTGCCTTCATGCCTCTCGGTGTTGTTGTGACTTCTTTGCTCTTCCTTCAAACTGTCTTTGCCTCCATCTCTCTTCTGTTGACTCCTGTTCCCTTCTGTCCAGCCCATAAGTTTCAACCAGACCTATTTCCGTCCTCGTTACCTCCCTCCCTTCCTCCCTCTGATCCATGCATCCAATTTCCCATCCTTCTGCTTGTGCATGTCTTCCGGATCATGACAAACAACGCCATTCACTCGCATGGAAAATGCCAAACTGATCAGGTTGTCTCCAGCCTCCACTAATCTCATTGCCACTTGCTTGGGGCTGGTTGGCTGGATAGCTGGATCCGGGGGGGGGGGGGGGGGGGGGGGGGATAATGCTGCTAGGTGGATGGATTCGGGATGGGCGATGGGATTGGGGATCAATGGTGACGAAAAAAGGGATGTGAGATCATGGGACCTCCAGCCACCAGTGCTTAAATCGGATGGCTGAGGCTTGGGGAGATAGTGCCAATGGGGGGTTTTGGGGGAATGATAGTGAGTGAGTGACAAGAGATTTGAACATATTTTGATTTCACGACTGGAGCAACCGGTAACGCGCAGGAGCAACCTAAGCATGCTATGTTGGTAGCGAGGTGTAGACCGATTTGGCCTTGTACAACAATGCGTGGTTCGACAAAATCTGGCACGTGATGTTGTGGGCGAAGAACAATTCAGCCCGTGAATAGTGTGGGACGTAAGGAAATTCATAGAATAAAATGAAGTTGTAGACTTGATTGCTTTGACATTCATTCGTAAACACTAGCGCACAACGAATCACGAGAATATGAGGTGCATGTTGCAGGGTAGCGCCGGTCATACTGATCACCCCAATGGTTCACGTGCACGCCTATTTCACGCCCTCCACACGCCTAACGAGGAGTGACGATGACGAATCCGGCGGGACGGGTTTCTCGCGCGCATCGCAAGTCTGTGCAGGCAACAGAAATCTCCGCAAAGTTTGCACGGGTCGTCGCAACGCCAATGGAGGACATGCGCGGAGGGTGCAGAGCTCAGGCGGGATGGGGAAGTGGGCCCGCGTCCCGACATGCCCCATCTGGCGGATGACGACGTTTACGTCACGGCAAAGTCGACGGATGTCGAGAGGACGCACAGTGAGAAGAAACGAGGAATGGAATGTCTAAGGGAAAGTTGGGTACAAATGCAAACCCTAGGAAAACTGTACCCCATATGTGCTACCCCACTATAGCCTACAGTAACTATGTCATATAAATCTGACACACCCCCATAGGCAAAGTGGGGGAGAACAAGGGGTCACAAGACCAGTCAAGCAAAGCAAAACAAGCTCAGGGTGGATCACAAAGTCACCACACATTCCGAGCACAAGTTCAAGGCCACAAGGCCAGTTCACATGCAGGATTACATATATATATAAGGCTAGACAAGCAAGAGCAGGTGTATATATATATGCAACAGTACAAACAAGGTCAAGGGGTGAGCAAGTGAGGTAAGGTAGGCACAAGACCCAGCTGAGTACAGAAGCGCTGATGATCAAAAGGCGCAAGTGCCTTGGTGAAGATATCAGCAGTGTTGGCCTCAGAGGCCACGTACGCAAGCCGCAGCTGACCACGCTGCTGTAGCTCACGAGCAAGGAAGTAGCGGAGAGCAATGTGCTTCGTTCTGTGCTCCAGTCTCTGCTCTCGACACAAGGCCAGCATGGCCTTGTTGTCTACGTACAGCACTGGAGGAGAACGAGGCGGCTCTCCGAGGTCAGTCAGCAGGTAGGTGAGCCAGCGAAGCTCCTGTGCAGCCATGGCCCCGGCGTAGATCTCAGCCTCACAACTGGAGCCGAGAACAGAAGACGAGCGGGTAGCCCGCCACGAAACAGAGCCGGAACCAAGGCTGAAGGTGTAACCCTGTGACGACCGCTGCGTAGCCTGGTCGTCAGCCCAAGAAGCGTCTGCGTGCCCAGTGAGGACCACTGGACTCTGCCCTCCAAGCACAAGCCCCATGCCCGACGTACTGCACAAGTAACGCAACACCCTCTTCGCTGCAGCCATGTGCTCCGGTCTGTGTCTCCCAGGAGCAACATAGCGTGCGAGAATGCTAAGAGGGTATGCGAGGTCAGGTCGTGTGCAGGTCATCAGGTACATGAGGCAGCCAACAAGCTCTGGGTACGGGCCACTCGACTCTACGGACTCATCCGAAGGCAGAGCTGAGAGCGAGTGGCGAGTAGGCAAAGGAGTGGCCTGAGGCGAGGAGTACGTTAAGCCGAAGCGCTGAAGGACCTGCTGCACCATGTGTGACTGAGTCAGGGTAATGGTGCGGCGTGCTCTGTCCCGGGTGATCTGCAAGCCAAGGTAGCTGCGCAGTTCACCCAGGTCTGTGCACGTGTGTCTCTTCTGCAGCTCGGACTTCACGTGGGCGAGTCCAGCAGTGTCAGCTGTGGCAAAGACCAAGTCGTCGACGTACACGAGGATGTAGAACGGCGGCAAAGAAGTGTCGGTGCGCAAAAACAGCGACGGGTCGGCAGTAGAGGGAGCAAACCCAAGAGCCGCAAGTGTAGTCCTCAGTGTGTCGTGCCACTCACGAGGTGCCTGGCGGAGACCGTAGACTGGCCGCCGGAGGCTCCACTGGGTGCCAGGAGGAAAAGACCCAGTGAAGCCAAGTGGGCGACGCAGCCAGATCTCCTCGTGCAGGCTGCCCTGCAAGAAAGCAGTGCTGAAGTCAAGAGAGTGCAGCTCGTAGTCGCGGTGAGCAGCTATGTGCAGCAGTACCCGAAGAGTGGTCATCTTCGGGGTGGGAGAGAAGGTCTGAAAGTAGTCAACTCCCTGCCGCTGACTGAAGCCACGAGCCACGTAACGCGCCTTGAAGACAGGCGGAGAACCCGGCGGCCGCTTCACCCTGAAAATCCACATGCCACTGACGATGTTCGCCCCAGGCGGGGGAACCTCGTCAACGTAGGTGCCTGTGGACTTCCAGGAAGCCATCTCTGCGTCCATAGCTGCCTGCCACTGAGAGGAGTAGGGACCCTCTATCGCCTCCGCGTAAGAGCGCGGAGTCGGGATCTCAAGTGCATCCGGGTCTCCCTCAGGGGTAAGCAGTACGGACACGAGATGAGGTGAAGCAGCAGCCAAACACTGGAACTCCTCCTGCCTGTCCTCAAGGACGTCCGTGCCAAGGGCACACTCACCCCCGACGGACGGAGGACAGACAGACTCAGACTCAGCAACAAGACTAGCAGCGTAGTCTAGACGACAGCGAGCAGCAAAGTCGACGAGCTCAGTAACTAGGGCAGACGCAGCAGTGGACTCAAAGGAAGGGTCAGTGACAACAGTAGCAAGGAGACGCGTGACAGTAGGACTGGCAGCACGAAGAGAGTCCGACTCCGGGTCAGGAAGAGCAGGAAGAGAGGACTCAGGAGGAGAAGGCAAAGGGGCACGCAGAGGAGCAGTGGACGGACGCAGAGACATCCGGTGCGTGCCAGGGACAGGAGGAGGACGCTGACGCGAACCACGACCACTAGTGCGAGCAGCACGGACAGGCGACGCAGGGCGAGACGCAGGCTCACGACGCTCAGCAAGACCTCCAGTAGGACCAGTGTAGGGAGAAGGAGCGGGCCGTGGGGAGGCCGGCTGTAACTGTAACTGTGACGGGACAGGCTGTGGACACTCTAAGGGAGGAGGAGGACCAGTAGAAGGCGGGAGACCAAGAACCTGCTGAAGGAGCGGAACGAAGTACGGCCTAGGCCGCGCGGCGACTCTAGACACAGCAGGGACAGCACCAGTACCCCCAGCGGCAGCACCAGCGCCAGCAGCACCTCCAGCTCCAGTACCTCCAGCAGCACCAGTAGCACCCCCAGCAGGACCGCCTCCAGGACCGACAGCAGTAGCCTCAGCGCCAACACCCTCAGCAGCTCCAGCTCCAGTCGTACCCGTAGGCCCAGCAGCTCCAGTACTCCCAGTACGAGCACCTCCGGGACCCGCGGCACCAGCACCCTCAGCAGCCGACGAACCTCCAGCTCCAGCAGCACGCCTCCAGCG